GCTGCTCGAGTCCAGAGATGCAGCCAGCCAACACCACCCAGAAGGACCCCAAACAGAACAGCTGACTGTCTCGGAACCTTCCTGTGGCTCCCTCTGCCCTGTCCCTCTCACCGTGGCTCCTGGAAGTGCTCTATGGCCTATTGAAAGGGCGCCCCGACAAAACTACCCCTGGTTCCCCCACCTGAAAAGTGATTTCCCCTGTTCTGAATTCCCACACACTTTATCTGAACCTTTCTGAAGACACCTGCCTCACTTGCTAGTTCGGCCAATGTTTATGGAGTTCTCTGCACTGAAGGCTGGGGGCACAATATAAGACACGGCCAGGTGGCAGCAAACATAGTGTATGTGCAGCCAGGGCTGTCACTGAGATGCTCAGGGACGTGGGGATGATGGCTCTGCCTGGAGAAGGCTTCACAGAGAAAGTGACCACTGAACTGCCTGGGGACCTGGGGCTTCCTGGCTCTGTCCCGCTCCACTCTCTCAACACCCAGTGGTTTATTGGAGTTCTCTCCTGGGACCAGAGCATTGCTCAAAGCACGGTCCACATCCATTCCATCTCCCTGCCACTCCAACATCCGCACACCCATAACAGAGTCAGCACTCATAGCATCAGTGAATGGATACAATACAGCAAAAAGAACAAATTGTTTTCTGTCCTCTTCCCTCAGCAACTTGAGATCCTCAATAGATCCAGAAGGATGTTGCCCCTACCTCAGACTGGGGAGAGGGGAGCTCCCCCAAAAGAAGGAGGAGATGAAGATATCAACCAGCCAGATTCCTGTTCAGGACCAGCCTGTTGTGAGCTCTCCTGGGGGATCAGCAGTGGCTGGGAGGTTGGATGTGTGATGGGGCGGGGCAGGTTTATGGAGAGTGTTTGTTCCAGACATGACACAGGGGAAGGGCTCACAGGGTTCAACCTGATCAGCAAGTGCAAAAGATAAGGCCCCTATTAAAGCTAATTTGCTGAGATTTTCATTTTAGCAAACACAAATGATCAGTTTTTTGGATGTCTCAAGTATGTTTGAAATTTTTGTGTATTCTCTATGGTTGGGCACGAATTTATGAATGTGCGTGTGTGTAAATAAATTTAAGTGTGTTGTTCGAATAGTTTATATAAGGAATCATCAAATTATGGTCTTCAAGCCAGATACAGCTGGCCACTTGTTTCTGGAGGTTAGTGTTTATTGGACACATCTGCAGGGCCTTGTGTCCGGGGCTGCTTCTGGGCTGTGGCAGTATCTGCCGGTCCTGCTCTGTACCATTACTGGTGTTTTGTTATCTGACGACTCTGTTGAGTTTCTGGGGAGAATCTGCCAAAACCTGCCAAGTGATATAAGTTTGTCAGTTTCCATTAATTTCTTTCAGTGTTTGCTTTATATGATTCAAAATTACGTTCTTGTGTCTATAAGGATAGGACTATTATTGCTGGGCCTGGTAGCTCACACCTGTAATCCCAGCACTTTGGGAGGCCAAGGCAGGTGAATCAACTGAGGTCAGGAGTTCGAGACTAGCCTGGCCAACATGATGACACTCCCGTCTTTACCAAAAATACAAAAATTAGCTGAGTGTGGTGGCGTGGCCCTGTAATCCCAGCTACTCTGGAGGCTGAGGCAGGAGAATCCTTGAACCCAGGAGGAGGAGGTTGCAGTGAGCCAAGATGATACCATAGCACTCTAGCCTGGGTAACAAGAGTGAAAATCTGTCTCAAAAAAAAAAAAAAAAAAAAAGAAAGAAAGAAAGAAAAAAAGGATAAGACTATTATATCTTGGTCACTGGCACACTAATCAATAAGAAATAGTCTTCTTTTTCATTTAATCCATTTTCCTAGAATTCTTTGTTGTCTTGTATTAATATTGTTGTCCCTCATTCCTTTTGTATTGCTTTTCCTCTGGTCCTTTTTTCTAAACAGTGATGATACATAACTCAAAATGAATCATAGACCTAAATGCAAAACACAATATTACAAAACTCCTAGATGGTAGCATAAGGAGGAAATTTGATCATCTTGGTTTTGGTGATGACTTTTTAGATGCAACACCAAGGCACAATCCATAAAAAAAGAATTTGTAAGCTGGACTTCTTGAAAATTAAACATTTCTGCTTTGTGAAAGATATTGTCAAGAGAATGAAAAGACAAGCTAAAGACTGGGAGAAAATGTTTACAAAAGAAATATCAGACAAAGGAGTGTTATCCAAAACATACAAAGAACTCTTAAAACTCAACAATAAGAACACAAACCAACCAATTAGAAAATGGGCCAAAGACCTGAACAGACATCTCATCAAAGAAGACACAGCAGGTGACAAATAAGCGTATCAGAAGACGCTCCACATCATAAGTCCTCAAGAAAATGCAAATTAAAACAACAATGAGATACCAGTAAACACTTACGAGAATGGCCAAAATTTGGAACACTGACAACACCAAATGCTGAAGAAGGATGTGGAGCAACTGGAACTCTCATTCATAGACAGCAGGAACACAAAATAATACAGCCACTTTGGAAGACAGTTTGGTACTTTTTAAAAAACTAAACATTCTCTTACCATAGGATCCAGAAATCACACTCCTTGGGATTTACCCAAAAGAATTGCAAACTTATGTCCACACAAAAACCTGCATACAAATATATATGAATATATTGCACAGTGGTGAAGTCCAGGTTTTTAATGTAGCCATCCTAAATAGCAAGCATTGTACCCACTAAGAAATGTCTCATCCTTCACCCACCGCCTGACCTCCTGCCCTTCACAGTCTCCAGTGTCTATGATTCTACTCTCTACCTCCATCTGTATGCATGATGTAGCTCCCACTCACACGTAAAGGTGCACAGTATTTGACTTTCTGTTTCTGAGTAATTTCACTTAAAATAATAGCCTCCAGTTCCAGCCATGTTGCTGTGAAAGGCATGATTTCATTCTTTATTCATAGCTGAGTAGTATTCCACTGTGTGTGTGTGTGTGTGTGTGTGTGTGTGTGTGTCTGTGTGTGTGTATCTTTTGCCACTAAAAGTAATATTGCCATCATATGGGGAAGTGGGAGAGGGAGAAACAGGACCCCCTGGTTACATAAGTACTGATGGAGAAGGAAGTTGAAGAAATATGATGGGTGGAGAAAATAGGTCCCACCTGGGGAGACATCACATCAGCTCTATGGAGCCCCAGAGTGCTTAAGGGGCTGGCACTAAATGAACCTGGAACTCTCTTGTACCCTAAAAGGAACATTGGAAGGGGTTAGCAGAAAATGTCCATGTCAGTGATTCATCATCTCCCTTTCCTCACCATGCCCCAGGGACTCCCATGCCTTCCCAATCCTCTTGCCCCTACCTGGGTCAGGCTTTCCACAGCAGGTTAGGGCACATTATAGCCAAGGGCACAACTCCCAACTCCTACACAGGCTGTTTTGCATAGGAGGAGGAAAAACGCTGAAGACTTTCTGGGAAGTTAGTGCCATGGGGCAGGAAAGAACTTTTCCCACTCCCTTCCTCCAGGCTCATTCCACGGGGCGTCACTCCGCCACCCAACCTAGATAGTGGGACCCTGACCCCAGTCCCCCCACCTGAGTCCAGGGCTTCTGTGAGGGGCAGACCAATGGTTAGCAATGAAGTAACCCTGCTTCCCTCCCTGGACTCTGAGTTCCCATAGGGCAGACCCTGATGTGACCCAAGACCTATAGCACAGGGCACACGAGTAAGGATTTGATTTTGCCTCTTCTGTGTTCGTATGATGATTTGCTGTGTTTACCAGCTGAGTAAACTTGGGAACATCTCAACTTCTCCTTTCCTAAAATAGAGATTGCAGCACCTGCCTCTTAGGACTGTGAGGGTTGAGGAGGATGCAGGAGCAGCAGGTATCTTGATGTCTGGACATCAGAATGCTCAGTACACGGTGGGGTCGTAGAACAGGCTGTCACAACAATTGTGTGGAAGGACTGGGAGAGGGAACAAACAAGACCATGCTACCTTCAGGAGTCTGAAACTCCATCCTCTTTGGGTCCAGAGGCCCAGTGCTCTTTTCTCCCATTTCCTGACTTGCTACTACACATGCACTGGCTGCCTTACCCTCAAATCAAGGTTGAGCCAGGGAAGTCCCCAGGTGAGGTCTCTGGGGTGGGGTGGGACCTGGTGACCTGGCTCCCTGGTCAGAAACCCTGAGCACAGCCTCCTGGGTGTGTCCCACCCACCTGATGTAGGGCAAGGCTCCAAGAAACAGATGACAGAGGTGGCCCGAGGCCTCCCAGCCCCTGGGAAGAGCCAGGCTGAGCCTTGTAAAGGGACTGTTCTTTTTCCAAACACACACATCTCACTCATCCTGCTCCTCGTGTCGCCTCCCAGCTCCGGTAAGTCTCACCTCCCTCTTTGTGTTTTCTAGAAGTGCCCAGTGCCCAGTCTGCTGTGCTGCCTCCAGGAAGGGAAAGGGCTGTGGACGAAGACTCAGGAGCCTGGGTCTAGGCCAGCGCTGCCATTAGCTGGGCTGTGTGACCTTCACTTGACACCAAAAGGCCACATGTGTACAACCAGGTGGCTGAACTAGGCCTGTCCATTGCTCCTTTGGGATCTCCTGAGACAACTCCTGTGGAAATGTCCCCAGTGGGACCTGAGCACAGGACCTTCCCTGTCTTCTTCCTCCCTGGATTCATCCGCCTGTTGGGGTCCCAGTTGTTGAATCCCCTCCCCAGCTCTGCCCCCACAGAGGGTGGAGGGCTAAGGATCCCCTGTGAATGCTTTGGAGGCTCTCCAAACCCCAAGGCCTGGGACCCCGACACAGCATAGCCCTGGCCAGATGGCTTGCCCTTACCTGGGTAAGGTATTGAGCAGCCAAAGCTCCCTCACTCCCTACCACAACCTGCAAATTCTCAGGCACCCTCTGGGCACAGGGCTTGGCGTCTAGCCTTGGCCTCAGAATCAAAAAAGCTTTGGGTGGCTCCTCTTAGTCAGTTGCCAGCATGGAGCTTTCTCCTGCGTTGAGAGGAGTTGGGGGTTTATTGTCAGACACCCACACGCGTTAGCCAAGGTCCTTTTCTGGTTCTTTGGAAAGTGTGGGAAGTGAGAGCTGCACTGTCCTATTTTTCAGGCTTGGGGTGCAGGCCAGCCCAGACTGACCACCGGCTGGACAATTTGCTTTGGGAAGTCAGACCTTCTTATTTAAACAGGGTCAAGCCTTGGTGATTCCGAGGGTGCAGATAATTCCCAAGAGCAGACATGAAGCGACAACCACCTCACTCCCATCCCATCCAGCAGCTTAAGAACCAGGGGGTTATTTCTGTTCCTTGTAACAGAGGCCATTCCCGTTTCTCATTCCCAGGGGAATGCAGGAAGGGCCCCCCTGTGCTCGGGACAGGGCTGTGTTTCCTGCTCACACTCATGTCCGTCCTCACATGTGCACCTGGAGCCTGCACGCACCGTGTCATGCAGGGCTTGCACTTGAGTCAAGGTGGGGCCCACGGTGTCTGGTTCCGGAAGCAGCCCAGGAGGGTCTGAGATCAGATCACCAAGGCCATTGTCCTGCCCCCGTGACTCTCACCCCGGCTGTGAAGCTAGAGGAGATGGATTTGGTGCTGTTTTAGGAGTGGGGTCTGCCATGTGCTGGCTGAGGCTGGGGGGTCCCAGCTCAGTTCTTCCATGTGTTGCTGGCCTCCGACTCTCTCTGCTTCTCCCTCTCCAAAGCTCTGCCCACAGCTGGACTTCCGCCATCCACCTGCATCTCCTCTTGGCCCTGGCCAGGGTGGGCCAGGTCTCAGACTTGGTCCTACCCTCTCATCTTTGAGCAACTTATCCCATCACATTTTTAAAAATCGAGTTCCTTCTGTTCCATCTTAGGGCTGTTTTTCCTCTGTCCTCAGCCCTCCTTCCAACACCCCCACATGAGACCCTAACTTAAATGGAGGGAAAAAAATGGTTGTCTTTATTTCCTGAAGCCTTTGTGAAAGCCAAGATGAGCAACACTCAAGCTGAGACGTCCATAATAGGCATGATCGACATGTTTCACAAATACACCAGACGGGATGACAAGATTGACAAGCCAAGCCTGCTGACGATGATGAAGGAGAACTTCCCCAACTTCCTCAGTGCCTGTGTGAGTCGGGGTTTAGCTTCTCAATGTTGGTTGGACGCTGGCATGGCTGAGGATATATTTTACTATGTGTCTTTGGACGGGTCACCCTCATCCTCTGATTAAAACATTTCCCATTTGCAAATTTATTGCTTGGATCATATGGGAATCTAAGGATGATAGGCGAAAAAGTATGAAAATGGGAAAGAGTTATACAGATATAAATGAGGTTATGAGATGGTCGGCAAAGTGTGCAGCTTGAGGGCGGTGCATAGTCCCCTCCCAGTGCTCACTGACCCCCTCTCTGTGAGACTGAAACTCACATGCTCAGGTCCTGCTTCCCAAAGGCCCCACATCAACATCCTTGAGATTAATGGGAAAGCACTGGAAGTTCCATTGCTAGTAGAAATCAATAGCCCTCTTTGCAATAAACAAGACTCATTAGCAAATCTGAAAAAAATTGTGGGCTACTAGGTACCAAAGGGTCTAGATGACCAAGAGTAGGGAACCCAGAAGATGAGTTTGGTGGAAAAAGAGAAGAAAGAAGGGGAGGTCAGAGAAGGAAGAGAACAAAGCATGAGGGCCAATTTGGGGGCCCTGGGGTAGAACTAAGGTAGCCAGTGCCCTTAAAGGCTGGGGACAGGTGAGAGTGAGGCTGGGGCAGGGGACTGCTCTCCCCAAGGTCACGTAACAGAGCGCCTCGGAACAGGACCTACCTCCCATCTGAAGTTTGAGACAAAAAGTCTTCCTAGAGAACTCCAGGGATATCATTCACATCCTCACCCCAACTTCACCCACTCGCCCTGCACTCCCAGCCCCGCCACGATGCCTGTGCAGATCTAGGCATTTGTCTCTGTCTCTGCCTCCTCCTCTCCCCTCCCAGCCCGAAACTTGTTTGTGATGGAATTTTTCTTGTTTGTGTGTTTTTCTCCTCACAGGACAAAAAGGGCATACATTACCTGGCCAGTGTCTTTGAGAGAAAGGACAAGAATGAGGATAAGAAGATTGATTTTTCTGAGTTTCTGTCCTTGCTGGGAGACATAGCCACAGACTACCACAAGGAAAGCCACGGAGGGGCGCCCTGTTCCGGGGGAAGCCAGTGATCCAGCCCCACCCAGGAGCCTCCAGAGACCCCAGGAACAGTAAAGTGTCTCCTCCCACCAGACACTTGCCTTATTTCCTTCTTCACATTGGTGACCTACATTGTCAAAACTGCCAATTCCAGGCTAACTTTGTTGGAGAATCCCCGCCACCCCCATCCAGTGGGTCACCCAGGAGTAATGTCCCACCACCAATGTTCTCCCTGTGGCCTCCAGCAGAGCTGAGCTGCCTCTCACACAGGTCCTGCTGTTGGCCTCTGCCCCACTCCCTAAATGCAGCCACCACAGCAGGTTACAGGTGGAAGCTGGTAGAAGGCCTCTGCCAGGTCACAGCAATGCCCCTCCTTGTCAAGGCATGGACCAGGTCATTCGGATGTATTTAGATACTGCACTGAGAAGGAGCTGGCATCTCTCAGTGTGCCCCTGCCCTCCCACTCCCGCCCTAGCTGTTCTCCAGGGCTTGGGGAAACAGAAACCACTCACATAGGGATTCCTGGGTGGGATCAGGCTCAGGGCCCTTGTGGCTATGAATGGGAGGCTCAGTAGTTCCCTGAGGGTGGGCTCCCTTGTCCTGTGGTCTGGACTTCAGGGGCTGTGTCCTCTCCCTGTGCTGTGTGCTTGTGTGCATGTGCCTATGTGGGTGACCCTGTGGAAGTGAGAGGGATTCACCTTGAAGCTGAGCTGTCCTCCATGATGGTTTGCTAAATGCCAGGACTGGATTTCTGGTGATGAATGAATATTCCAGATTTTGAGGAGCTCAAAGTAGTCCAGGAGTCCAAATAAGGAGTCTGGCCGGAATAAGGCAGCACCATGGAAATGCCCTAAGGACTGACGCAGAGAGCTCATGCTGATTGTGATGAGAAATTGCAGCGCCTCTATCTGGTGGGTAATGGAACAGTTTGTTATTGGTAGTCTACTCCAGGCCAGGCACTGTGCTATGGGCTGAGGATGCAGAAACAAGCAGGACACAGTGCTGTCCTAGCAGAGCGCTGGCGGGTCTCTCCATACAGGCCACAACACAGGGTTAATGTTCACCCAGTGCTACTTCCAGGCCATGTTCCATGCAGCCGCTCTTAGTATTCCTCCTTCTCTCTTACCACCCTGGTCAGTCTGCTGCTAACCTGTCAGTCAGGCAAACATTCTTGTTGGAGGAATCAGGCAACCATCTCAAAAATTCTCTTTCCATCCGACCAGCAGAAGTGTGTAGGATGTGTTATTTGCTCTTGTGAATGACTGCTGCACTCCACACTCACACCTCTGTTCACAGAGCAGCGCCTCCTCTCCTCATCAGGAATCTTCCTTCCTGAACATACTCTGCACCTCACCAGCATTCAGGACTGATCTGCAGTTTTCACCTCCAAATCCCAATGTCTGACCATTAGGTTTCTTCTCTCTCCTTCTCTCCCTTTCTCATTCTTATTCCACCTGTTCTTGGAACTCACAGAGACCTGCAGTCCCTGGGATTCCATTTTCTCTTCCCAGCCCCCTGCTGCCTTCTCTACGCAGCCTGCCCCCCATCATCCACCCCAGAATTGCTCTCTTTCCTCTCTTAGCTCTGTTGCCCACTTTCCTTGGGCCACACCTTCCCTGCAGATCTCCAGTCTAGAACCATCTTCCCCATTTTCCTCCTCTCTCCTCCACCAGGACTGCTGGTCACTGCTCAGAACCGTCATGCCAGGGTCCCAAGGGTGGGTGCCTGACTTCCTGTCTGCCCAGCACTCTCTGAATCCCTCCTGTTCACCCAGCTGCTGTTATTCCAAGTATGTGCAACACACCCCCCGTCAGTATATCTCAGTATTTCATGCCTCAATACCAATCTTTCAAACTACTGCCTCAGCCAGAAATGTCTTTTAATACTTCATCTGTCTCATTCACATTACATTGCAAGACTGAGCTTTTTGTCAGTGTCTCTTAGACATTTAGAGGGTGAACCACCATCCCTTCACCCCAAAGAAATGATCTCTGCCTCATATGCGCCTCCCTCACTCTGACCCTACTCCTACCATAGCGGCTACATTACCTCAGATTCCCCTCGTGTCTTTCCATCCAGACTTGGAATCATGGGGGGAAAACACTGTTACCTCAGATCTCCTGGTTACCCAGCACATAGCAGTACTGGATCCCAGCTCATAATAAGTACTCTATATTATTTTTTATTATAAAATACTTTTGTGCAAATTCTGGTCAATACCACTTCATGTAAACAGCAGTGCAAAATCTAAAAACTTCCAGTTTGGGAGGCAGCCTGTGCAGCTTAGGAGAGGACTCCAGAATGTGGAACCCAAAATCTGGAACTAGGCCAAAAAGAATAATGCAAATGACTGAAGAGCTTGACTCAAGCCTTGATCTCCGAAAAGAAGAGAGGGTCTCCCTGGGGTGCGGTTGCTGGACTTTCAAGTCCATTTCTAAAGTCCAGAAGGCAACTGGCCATCCCTAATGTGGGCCTGCCTTCCCTTTATATTTATTTATTCATTTATTTATTATTATACTTTAAGTTCTAGGGTACATGTGCACAGCGTGCAGGTTTGTTACATATGTATACATGTGCCAAGTTGGTATGCTGCACTCATTAATTCATCATTTACATTCGGTATATCTCCTAATGCTATCCCTTCCCCCTACCCCAACCCCATGACAGGCCCCGGTGTGTGATGTTCCCCTTCCTGTGTCCAAGTGTTCTCATTGTTCAGTTCCCACCTATGAGTGAGAACATGTGGTGTTTGGTTTTCTGTTCTTGCGATAGTTTGCTGAGAATGATGGTTTCCAGCTGCATCTATGTCCCTACAAAGGACATTAACTCATCCTTTTTTATGGCTGCATAGTATTCCATGGTGTATATGTGCCACATTTTCTTAATCCAGTCTGTCACTGATGGACTTTTGGGTTGGTTCCAAGTCTTCACTATTGTGAATAGTGCCGCAATAAACATACGTGTGCATGTGTAGTCATAGCAGCATGATTTATAATCCTTTGGGTGTATACCCAGTAATGGGATGGCTGGGTCAAATGGTATTTCTAGTTCTAGATCCTTGAGGAATCGCCACACTGTCTTGCACAATGGTTGAACTAGTTTATAGTCCCACCAACAGTGTAAAACTGTTCCTATTTCTCCACATCCTCTCCAGTAGCTGTTGTTTCCTGACTTTTTAAAGATCGCCATTCTAACTGGTGTGAGATGGCATCTCATTTGTGGTTTTGATTTGCATTTCTCTGATGGCCAGTGATGATGAGCATTTTTTCATGTGTCTGTTGGCTGCATAAATGTCTTCTTTTGAGAAGTGTCTGTTCATATCCTTTGCCCACTTTTTGATGGGGTTTTTTGTTTTTTTCTTGTAAATTTGATTGAGTTCTTTGTAGGTTCTGGATATTAGCCCTTTGTCAGATGAGTAGATTGCAAAAATATTCTCCCGTTCTGTAGGTTGCCTGTTCACTCTGATGGTAGTTTCTTTTGCTGTGCAGAAGCTCTTTGGTTTAATTAGATCCCATTTGTCAATTTTGGCTTTTGTTGCCATTACTTTTGGTGTTTTAGACGTGAAGTCCTTGCCCATGTCTTTGTCATGAATGGTATTGCCTAGGTTTTCTTCTTGGGTTTTTATGGTTTTAGGTCTAACATTTAAGTCTCTAATCCACCTTGAATTAATTTTTGTAAAAGGTGTAAGGAAGGGATCCAGTTTCAGCTTTCTACATATGGCTAGCCAGTTTTCCCAGCACCATTTGTTAAATAGGGAATCCTTTCCCCATTTCTTGTTTTTGTCAGGTTTGTCAAAGATCAGATGGTTGTAGATGTGTGGTATTATTTCTGAGGGCTCTGTTCTGTTCCATTGGTCTATATCTCTGTTTTGGTACCGGTACCATGCTGTTTTGGTTACTGTAGCCTTGTTTGAAGTCAGGTAGCGTGATACCTCCAACTTTGTTCTTTTGGCTCAGGATTGTCTTGGCAATGCAGGTTCTTTTTTGGTTCCATATGAACTTTAAAGTAGTTTTTTTCAAATTCTGTGAAGAAAGTCATTGGTAGCTTAATGGGGATGGCATTGAATCTGTAAATTACCTTGGGCAGTATGGCTATTTTCACGATATTGATTCTTCCTATCCATGAGCATGGAATGTTCTTCCATTTGTTTGTGTCCTCTTTTATTTTGTTGAGCAGTGGTTTGTAGTTCTCCTTGAAGAGGTCCTTCACATCTCTTGTAAGTTGAATTCCTAGGTATTTTATTCTATTTGAAGCAATTGTGAATGGGAGTTCACTCATGATTTGGCTCTCTGTTTTTCTGTTATTGGTGTATAAGAATGCTTGTGATTTTTGTGCATTGATTTTGTATCCTGAGACTTTGCTGAAGTTGCTTATCAGCTTAAGGAGATTTTGGGCTGAGATGATGGGGTCTTCTAAATATAGACATGTCATCTGTAAACAGGGACAATTTGACTTCCTCTTTTCCTAATTGAATACCCTTTATTTCTTTCTCCTGCCTGATTGGCCTGGTCAGAACTTCCAACACTATGTTGAATAGGAGTGGTGAGAGACGGCATCCCTGTCTTGTGCCTGTTTTCAAAGGGAATGCTTCCAGTTTTTGCCCATTCAGTATGATATTGGTTGTGGGTTTGTCATAAATAGCTCTTATTATTTTGAGATACATTCCATCTATACCGAATTTATTGAGAGTTTTTAGCATGAAGGGCTATTGAATTTTGTCAAAGGTCTTTTCTGCATCTATTGAGATAATCATGTGGTTTTGTCTTTGATTCTGTTTATATGCTGGATTGTGTTTATTGATTTGCGTATGTTGAACCAGCCTTGCATCCCAGGGATGAAGCCTTCTTGATCATGGTGGATAAGCTTTTTGATGTGCTGCTGGATTTGGTTCGCCATTATTTTATTGAGGATTTCTGACTCATTGATCTGTCTAATGTTGACAGTGGGGTGTTAAAGTCTCCCATTATTATTGTGTGGGAGTCTTAATCTCTTTGTACATCTCCAAGGACTTGCTTTATGAATCTGGGCGCTCGTGTATTGGGAGCATATATATTTAGGATAGTTAGCTCTTCTTGTTGAATTGATCCCTTTACC